GTTTAGAGTACAGACAAGGCAATTTTAAAAAATTGTTGTTTTTTGATGCACCCTAATATATATATAATATATATATATATATATATATATATATATATATATATATATATATATATATATATATATATATATATATATATATATATATATGAAAATATATATAAATATATATATATATATATATTTATATATAATATATATATATATATATATATATATATATATATATATATATATATATATATATATATATATATATATATATATATATATATATATATATATATATATATATATACCTTTCCGTCGCGAACCTGTATTTTCAACTGGAGGCAGACAAAGTTACGGAAAATATAAAAAATGGCTAGAAAAGTTTGTGAACTAATCCATTATTTTTAGTTAGTTTACTAAACTTTTAAAGTACTGTATTAATGTATAAAATGTCTATTGCAGTGTTTATTAAGAATCATCAAATTTAAAAAATATATTTTGAAAAAAAGAATAAAATACAATATTTTTCAGAATAATGAGTTGTAATTATTTAAAACCTAAATCACAAAAAAATGAACAAACTTTAAAATAATGCAAAGAAAAAAAAAGGAGAAAAAACATCATATACATCAAGTAAAAAAACATCATATACAATATACATCAAATAAAAAGAAAAAAATATCAAAATATACATCAATAATGTTATAAAAAAATGTACATAATAATTTTTTAATGTTATACAGATAACTTTAAAACCTTTAATGCAGGTTCCTTTTTGGACTTGGATGAGAAAAGCAAACAATAATTTTTAAGAAATATGTTTGATAATACTGTACTATGTTTTTTTAACATATTAAAGTTATAAATATCAGATATCATCATAAAAGTATTACCCAATGACTTTCTGCACATTTTGTTTTTCTCAATTTCAAAAATAATGAAACAAAAAAATACCCACTGCACACAGCAATCGAGAGGTATATTCAATCCACCGTGGTCTATAGTTTTTGTATAGTCTCCATATAACTGAAAATAAAATGCAGAATCATTAAACAAATCATTTTCACTAACATCATCTTTTCTTGTAGTGCAATATAAAACAAAGCCATTTTTGTTCTCAATGACAAAGATGATTCTAGTTCAGGTAATTGATTAATGATGTCACAAGATTCTTCATTATAAAATAGCCACATTTTTGACAAGAATGCTCGATACCAATAGCATAATTTGTAGCATCAACTTTTAATTGCAATAACAGTTTAGCTTTTTCAATGTTTAACTTTTCAACAACATTTTGAACTGTTATAAAGTATGTTCCACCTGAACCTCGCCTAAACTTACTGAATGCTTTTTCAACGTAATCTGTTGAAAACTCTCCTAACATAACATAATCAAAATTGTTTTTTAGCAAATATTTACAAATTTCAACGACTCTATAACATGTATGCCAAATTGAAGTACCTGTATCTTTAGTTAAAGATTGCATTGTATGACCTTGTTCACCACTTATTTTAAATGCCATATCTCCAAAATCAAGTAAGTACTGCAAATTTATGTCTAATTTTTCAAAAATAACTCTCTTACGAGAATCTAAAAATTTCATATCACCATAAATTTCTTTTACACTTACAATTTTCCAAAATTTAGTAACTTTATCTAAAAAAAAATGGTTTCATTCATATTGCAAGGGTGGATAACTTTTGAATAAGTTATAAGAGCAGCTATAGTTTCATCGCAAAATACTCTTAAACAATGTGTTTTTGTCTTCCATTTGGTTTTAGATGTATAGCTACAAAATTCAGTCTTAATAACTTAATTAGCTAATCTTTCTCAAAATCTAAGATACATTTAAGGTCACTTCATTGGCAGTCAAATTTTGGTCTTTTTTAAAATATAAATCCTGCATTTTTTCTGCAATCTAATTATTCCTAATATTTTTTAGTTGATGAACATAATCAAAAAGGAGAAAATACCACATTTTGTTATCCACGGTTTTCCTTCAACTCTCTCAAATAATTTTTTAAAATGCTTGATTCGTTCAATTGCCATCACAAATAACTGAAATTACTTTTCCATTGCTGGACTTAATCGAATTAATGACATAGCATACTTGCTCAAACAAAAAGAAACATACAAATGACAGGCAAGTATCGTTTTGCATAAAAAAGATGGTCCACCTTTTAAACATTTAACCATAATACCCAAAACACTATTTGCTAACAACTCTGGATTATTTTTCGCTTTTCCAAAAAGATAACCACCATGATAAAGAAGAAGAGACTTTACATAAACTTCATCCACGAAAAGTAAACAATATCTATGATTTTCCTCTAAATTTGAAAAAATAGTGCTAATAAAGTCAATATCTGAAACTTTCTCTCTTATAGATGTAGTTTTTGTTAATGATTTTACACTTGGCAGTTTAAAATCTTTTCGTACCTGATTGTATAAGCTTCGAAACGTTGAAAAATAACAATACAATCTGATTATAGTTTTTATTTTATAAATT